ATGAAGCCACTCTGCGAGCCCAGCCCCTGTGTGCCCTTATGAGGGCTCCTAAAAGCATGAGGCAATTATGAGACCCAAGCCACCAGCCTGGGGTCTACATAACAAGACCTTCTACACTTACACAGGGGATTAGGTAAATTAGGCAGACAAAATCCATGCCTGAAGGGCAGGGATGTCCAAGTTATAAAACCTGGTGAAAGTAGACGGCGAAGACCAGCCAGCAGCCGCACAGATATCATTAGTAGAAACTCCGCTGGACCAAGCCCAGGAGAAGGCAATTCCTCTGGTGGAATGGGCCCTCACTCCGATAGGTGTAAGCCCACTGAGGTGTAAACCAGGATTATAGAGTCAACTATCCAGAAAGTCTCGGCTTTGTGACTGGCAGTCCTTTAGAGTGGCCACCGAAGCAAACAAAGAGCTGCTCTGAATGGAGTGGAGAACACTTTAGGCACATAGCCATTAGGCCCAAACTCAAGGCATGAAGCATTTACTGACAGTGCTTGTATGTCACCCACTTGCTAGACCGACATTAAAGCCAAAAGGAGGGCGGTCTTAAGTGACAGGGGCCGAAAGTCGTCTGACTGGAGCGGCTCAAAGGGAGGGCCTCGTAGGGCCCTGGGGACTATGGACAAGTCCCAAGTCGTCACAGTATGAGGCCGAAGCGGATTCAATCTTTGAGCTTCCCTCAGGAACTTAACGACAAGGTCATTTTTGCCAACTGACTGGCCAGCAATGAGAGCCAGATTCGCCGCAATGGCTGCCATGTATACTTTGAGCGTGGAAGGAGTGCGCCCCTTATCTAGCAGCTCTTGTAGAAAGGTTAACACGGATGACACAGATGACACGGATGAAGGCTCCACAGTTTGAGCCGGGGATGCCAAACCATATCTCTCTCACTTGAGAGAGGAGGTTCCTCCTCAACAGGATTGGCCAAGGAGCTGCCTATAGCAGCTAAATTAAATCAGGGAACCATGTCTGATTCCTCCAGAGTGGGGCCACCAGAAGGACCAAGCACCTGACTTCCCTGACCCGTCTGATGACCTAGGAAGCAAGTAAATCGGGGGGGGGGAGACATACAAGCTAGTGCTGGGACGTTTGTGGGCAGGGCATCTCGCTCCTTTGAGAAATAATTTGAGCAGTGAGAGTTGTCTTCTGAGGCGAAGAGGTCCAACTCTGGCCTCCCGATGACAGACCAAATAATTTGAACCGTTTGGGGGTGTAGTCTCTCTCCATTCTTCTGGAGCTACATTGCCCCTGGACAGTGAGCCCATAGGGGGATGCGTCTCGCCGTCCCGTAAAGGGAGTGTGACCTTACACCGTCTTGGTGATTTATAAAGGCTACCACCGTCATGTTGTCCGAGCAGACCAAAACATTGTGTCCTCTTAAAGGGGTCCTATTATGCTTTTTCACTTTTTTAATTTTAGTCAGTGTGTAGTGTGTATGTTTGGGTATTAAAAAGATCTAGAAAATTACAAATCTCAAAGTCCACTCCAAAGGGAGATATTTAGTTTTTTTTAAATCCCTTTTCAAGAACTACAACGAACGGCTCGTTTGGACTACAGCGTTTGTTTTCCGGGCTTTGTGATATCACAAAGCGGCTCATTGGAATATCATTACCAATAATTCCCACCTACAGAAATTCGAATGGTTCGGGGGTGGGGAGGAGCGACGTTGTGGTTAGAACGCTTGGTTGAGTGAGTGCATCAGACGAGACGACGACGAAGTGCTGCTGTAGAGTTAATGCATCAGAGAAAATGAAGAAGAGCTGCTGTGCTGTAGCGTAAAATTTTTGGCATGTCTAGAACAGCGGTTCTCAATTCCAGTCCTCGCGTACCCCTGCTCTGCACATTTTGTATGTTTCTCTTATTGCTTCATACGTTTGTTATATTTGACTGCAAGTGTCCTGCGAAGTGGACATTACCGGATATTCCTCCATGATTCCAGTTTGAAGGGAGTGTATATATTCCATACAAAGGGCATTTAAGTGTGCGAGACGTGAATTTAAATTGTATTTATTTACAGAGGTATATTATGTCCCACTTCACACTTTTCTAGTAAGTTTCTTTTGTGTGTGAAGACGCTGCAGGCAGTGGCGCAGCGCAAATCTGTAAATGAATATTCCGAAGTGAAGTAAATTTCAACGGATTTCCCATGCTCAGGGAGTAGGGAGCAATGGACACTGTGTAGGGACCATGTCAATCGGAACACAGTTCATGCACGGAGCTCACTTCTAACGAGATGATTTGAATCAGGTGTGTTAACAAAGAGAGATGTGCAAAACATGCAGAGTGGGCGTACGCGAGGACTGGAATTGAGAACCGCATGTCTAGAACAATTCTTACAAGTATAACACGACGTAGCTGGGCGCCACGGACAGACGCCGAACGGCGCTGCCAGTGTGCCTACACTCATAGAAAATAATGTATTTGAATTTTAAAGACTTGGCGCAATGCTGCGCTTCTCGTCCGGTGCGTGACCACATGAAACGCTGTTTTTTTCACCTCTTTGTTTGGGCTTCCGAAAGCGGATGATGTCAGGAAACAGTTGTTGCAATTTATTTTTTAACTCTGTTCCTGAGCATTATAACCCCAATTTGCTATTGTGTGCTGCGCATTTTACTGAGGACAGCTTCCACAACACGAGTGAGCAGTGCCGGATTCGCCAAAAGCTTTTGTTGAAAGATGGAGCAAGGGGGCGTGGCAGTACTGAAACACCATCTAAGCTGTTCGCCAATCACAACGCACTGGGACAGCTAACCAATCACAACACATTTTGTTTTTCGGAAGGCAGACCTTCATCAAATCCGGAACTAATCGAGCCGTTTGTGCCAGGATGGGGAGAAAGGTATTTTAATAATGTAAATTATGTGAAAAATAATGCGTTTTTCTAACCACCAATCATGAGAGCATGTTCTAGTACACCCCCAAAACAAAATCAAGAATTTGTAAAAGAGCATAATAGGACCCCTTTAAGGCTGGCAGGAAGGTTTCCAGGGCTATAAAAACTGCCATCATCTCGAGGCAGTTGATGTGCAGGCATTGCTCCAGGTTGGATCATGAGCCGGACGTTGGTCTGCTCTCATACAGTGCTCCTCAACCCAAGTTGGAGGCCTCTGTCGTGACTACCATCCTTCTGGAGGTCAGTCCCAATGGGATGACGCAGCAGTGGGTTACCTTGAGATGAAAATGTCCCAGGTGCCAAGCGTGGAAGGGTACACAGGCTTTGAGCCAAAATTAGAGGGACCGCATATGAATCAGGCCCAACAGAACCACAGAGGAGGCGGCTGACATGAGGCCGAGAATCCTCTGAAAAACTCAGAGGGGACGAGAAGTCCCAAATCTGAATGATGCTGCGAGTCGCTGAACTGTCAGAGAGGAGAGTGTTCCGGTGTAATCCAGGCCAACATCTGGACCGAAATGATAATTGTCCCCAGGAAGACAACTTGCTGGCTGGGAGACAGCAAGCTCTTGGCCAAATTGATTTTCAGCCCAAGACGCTCCAGGTAGGTCTAGTTGTATTGTATTCATAGTGTTGTTGTTACGATCACCAGCTGGAGTGCCCATGAGCTCCTCTAGAGGGCACTTCATCCATTACCCTTGCCACTCAACCCTGAAATCCATTTCCCATAACCATCTGCCTAGGAACTCGTTAGCAGACTCCACCTGTTTCCAATTAGAAGGACTATAAAGGTTGCACTCACACTAGTGGTGGGCAGAGCGAGGCTTCATGAAACACTCGAAGCAAATGTGCTGAGGCTTCGAAACAATTCAACACCTGTCTCGACGGTGACAGCTAGTGGTCATTTTCAAGTACTGCTCTGAAACTGCATTGACAACGTATCCGTTAAGTGTATTTCAACATGTAGGTTGGGGGAGTGGTTAGTGTGCATGGCTGGCATGTTGTTAGAACCTGTCACTTTAGGTTCAAATCCCGGGTGAAGCATGTATGCAATTATAATAAATATTTGAGATGTTGTGTTGTAACATCTCTCTTGACAACTGAATGAACTCTTTGTGAATGTTATTTTGGTAATGGAAAAAATTTACATTAATAAAAGACATCAAGCCACAATGCCTGACATTTTTTACATATAAATATTTTTATTTAAATATATTAATTGTTCTGCTGCATTAACTCCACTTTTATACTTTGTGGGAGTTAGGTTAAGACAGATGTGCGATTGTGTGGTTTGTTCCCGACCATGTCGATCAAAAGCAGATACGGGTCTCAAAAATGCCCCAATGCTTTGATTCGCCTTAGTCATGTGACATGGGTGTTTCGAATCAAAATTCGGAGCAGTGTTTCGAAACATCTGCACTTCGGGATCTCGACACCGTGTCGAAACATCAGTTTCGCATCAGCCATCCCTAACTCACACTCACACACACTGCTCAGTATTGTCTAGCCTGTAGCGTTCCCAAGTTCCTGTGTTTTCCTAGTTCCTTGTCTTGCCTTTGACCCTGGACTGTTTCTGATTTCTGCTGCCTGCCCTGACCTTCACCTGTTTATTGGATTACTATTTTGTCTCACCCTGGATTGTACTTGTTTGCAGTTGTGTGACCCTGCCTGTTTGACGACTCTTTGGAATAAAGCCTGCACTTGGATCAACTACTGCGTTGTCACGCCTCCTCACGTTACAGATGTCTTGCATGTTCGTTCTGTTAAGAGATGTAAATATTGTTCTGTATTGTTCCACTAACAGATTTAAATATTTTTTGGTTTTGTTCAATTAAGAGATATAAATATCAGTCACTACTGTTCTTTTAAGATTTTTTTTTTTTTTTGGTTTTGTTCCATTACGAGATATAAATATTGGTCAGTATTGCTATTGGTGGATTTTGTTCAAAGCAAGAGCAACCAATTCTGAAAAATGAAAATAAGATTGGATGTCACAGATTAAAAGTCTGAAAAAGTCTAATTCTCAGACACACCAGGAGAAAGATGATTAGGAATTTAGGCTGGTTTGTTGTAAGGTTTTGTACTGGATTACTTATCATACCGTAGGTGAGCTATCCGCAATGTCTCTAGTTTGAAGCAAGGATCCGCCAGCAGAGAGAAAAGTTGCTGAAGTTCAAGAGTCAACGGTAAAAAGAAACTTAGTTCAAGTTTTCTCAGGTGTGAAGGGTTCTCTTGAAAAGCAGAGAATAATGCTGCTGCCATTTCATGCTTTATAGAATAGATTTCCAACCTGCAAAGAGAGTTAGGAGAGTTCATGTAAACTTTTCTCTGTAGATTTAATATAATTATTGTTTAAAAATGAGCACACAGCACATTAAAGGGGTCATGAACTGAGAAATTAAATTTTCCTTGATCTTTTGACATGTAACAGGTCAACGTACTATAAAAACATCCCATAAGTTTCAGAACTCAAAACATTCTCATTAGTTCAAAAACAGCTTTTTTTCAACTTTTTTTGAACGAACGCAACAGTTTCGAACGATCTGACCTTTTTTAAACAACAAAATAATGTCTGTTTCGTGGTCTGTTGAGGAAGTACAGACGTTCCTCTCGTTGATTGCCGAGGAGCGGATCCAGCGGGAGCTTAATGGGACGACGCGGAATGAAAAAGTTTTTTCTCAACTATAACGACATGTCTATAATCCCGCCCACTCTAAAGCGGTACTAAACTGCAGTGGAAACGCAAACTGAGCCAAGCCGTGCCGAGCTGTACCGTGCAGTGGAAAAGCGCCATTAGTTACAGCAATGGGCATTTACTTCTGATTCTTAAAAGGAGTCCCGCCTATAAAAACAGACCGCTCTGTAGAGAGGGTCAAAAACTTCAATTATGATGTTTTTTGATGTAAAAATCTTGCTAACATAATAGGTGAGCCTCAGATAATATTATCAAATAAAAATAAAAAATGCAATTCATGACCCTTTAACTATGGAAACCCAGATTATCTAACTGATGTGCTGGTAAAAGGTTAATCTGAATAAGATTACTGTGTGCTAAACATTTTCAGTGCAGGAAAATATAATCTCAAAATTATTTTATTTTATGACTATTAAAGCTAAAGTGTGCAATTCTTTAGATATCATCTGAGATTATTATGCAGGGATACAAATAGTTGATTCTGAACTATTATCAAAAAACTGTTTTGAGTACCTAAACCTGAAGAAATTGCACACTCTAGCTTTAAGGAAATCAATCTGTGTTCCTGTTTACTGCTTTATTTACCTCAGAACTGTTATTTTGAAGTTTGGGTGTCTGAATGCCTCCGACAGAAGCTGTAAAGCCTGATCTTCAGAGCTCCGACAGCATCTGCTCAAGTCCAGCTCTTGCAGACGACAAGAACTGCTACAGAGAGCTGCGGCCAAGATCTTACAACTCTCTAAGGTTTCTATTCCTTGTAAACTGTGGAGCACAAAACACAATATTGAGGGGGGGGGGGGGGGGGGGGGGGGTAGTAGTGCTTGTCCATGTTTTAATTTTTTTTCTAACACAAATGAATCAGAAGTGTAATAGTAGATTTAGTGGTTTGTTCCAATAAATAATGACCACTAATAACAATAGAGTAACATTTTTTACTAACGTGAGATTTTCAAGACGACAATCCGGGTCCATTAAGATTTGAGAGATGATCTCCACTGTCCTGTCACTCATTTTGAATAAATTCAGCAGCTTCAGCTCTCTCAAATGTGTTGGGTTCAATAAAATCCCTGAGAGCAGATGATCACCATCCTTTTGATAACCAAAATATGGTGCCCTAAAGAGAATATTGTAAAGAAAGATGATGCAGGTACTCGATTTTGAGTTTTTAAGAGTTTAAGATGAATGTATGCCAAATACCAACTGGATATGATTTTAACAGAAATGATCCGAAATCAGATAGAGATATTGTTTTATTTTCATGTAATGTCATATGGATTTTAAGACTGCCTTGGTGTGAAGATCTGATTTGCTGTTTACAGTAAGAGATAAACACACTACCTAGACGGTATTTTAAGGCTGTTACAAAAAAATAGGAATTAACGGATGTATCCTTCACAGAGAAGGCACTGCTTAGTCAAAACAATTATCCAAGACTGTGAAAAATATTATCCAAGACAGAAATATTGATTATATTTCTTTACTACTGCAAAGTATTGCTAAAATGGTTTATTTGAACTACAATGTGTAATTTTACCCAATATTTCAGTGGACATATTTATTAGAGCTCTTATTATTTATTAAAACAATGTATTATTAGCTTAGCAACTAACGCCAACTCGGTTACAGTTTTGAGCCATTTTGAGTTTGTGTGCGTGGTTACAAAATGTATTCTGACTACAATTCATAACGATTCATTCTCAGGATTGCTGCAAAGGGCACAATAGGACTCACCCGAGTATCTCTACTTTGCAATTAGGGCTTCTCATACCAACGGATAACAGGCTCAAGTTTATATAACTGAGGGCATTCTTCTCGATGTCGATCTCTCTGATACGATTGGCTGGTGATCTCAGAGCTGAGGCGATCAGTGCCCAGCTCAGATCTGTGGCCTCATCCAGTCTTAGGAAGAAAAAAAAAAATGTATAGGTTAACTGATGTAAAATGCTAGAATAAATGACGTTGCATGTTGTTTAGGCATCTGTTTACACACACTGAACATCCTGAATTTTAATTTATGTTAAAGTTGCACTCAATATTTTTTGTTTATGCTGCATTGGCCGATACTGCAGGCATCTAGAACTTTCACATACATGTAGTGGCGGTTTTCAGCTACTGATAGCATTAGAGAAATGTTTTAATATATTTCAGGAGAGAAGGTGCAGAGTATAAATATAACAACTATGATTAGAATAATGATGCGATTGGAGTCTTGTTATACATCATTATGAATGTTTTTCAAACATACAATTCATTTATTTGTATATTAATCACTTTACTGAGAAAATCAAATACTAAGTGAACCTTTATAAACCGGATAGTTCCGGCCCTTGATTCTGATTGGTTGAGCCGCGTTCGAAGCTGTTGTAAATTACTCTACAAACATACACCTTTGTTTAATTCTGTGTGTTGCAGTCGGCAACCACTTTGTTGGAACCACTGCTGTTTCTGAGGAACTACATTGTTTGATGGAAGAATACTCTGCTTCGTGTCGTGCCTAACAACGCCCCTTAGCTGTTATAAATTCACAGCTTCTTGGGGCTTATTGTTTTATCAAATGTTTTAAGGGCTCACACACACACACACACACACACAAACAAACATATTCTCGCTGTGCTCACCTGAGGACTCTGGAGATCTTGATGATGGGCAGCAGTCTCATAATGGCTTCATCTGCATTAGCGTATTTCCTGACATCAAATATCAGTGATGAATCCTCAGAGGTCAGCAGAGTAGTGGCTATATGTGACCACTCTGAAGGAGTGACGTGCACATCCTCATCCATTTGAAATTCAACCCGGCCTCGATTGTGAACCACAGGCAGGGCTACGTCAAGCTCCTCCAAACAGTGAGAGAGATTAACTGAGATCTCAAATAATGGCTTTGCCTTGATTTTCTGTAAAATGTTTTTGACTACATCCTCTGTCCTTACACGAAGAGATGTATTTTGAAAAAAGCAGGACAGGAGCCTGTGGCTTGGACCTGCAGAGATGCCCAAGAGAAAGAGGAGAAAGATGTCTAGTTGGCCAGTTTTACTCCTTAAAGCTCTATCTACTGCTCTTCTGTGCATTTCAGTTGTAGGACTGAGCAACGTTTTAGCTTTTTCTGCAAGTGTAAAAGACATTACATTTCCCTTGCTGGGTTCATAATGCACAGCAACATACAATGCTGCCAGGAACTCTTGGACGCTGGGATGCGTGAAGCGGTACATTTTCCCCAAACCCATCAGGTTCTGTTTTCTGAAAAACATGGGCCAATCTTCAGAGAGTTTGACAGGAAGAAGAGGATCAGTATTGGTTTCTCTCTGGTCCTTCTCCATAAAGGTCAACGTGTCCTTTTCCAGCATGTGCCAAGCCAACTTACCCAACTTCAGGATCTCCTCAGTGCTTGATTTAGTGGACTTTTCCACTTGTCTCTTCATTTGAATCAGGAGAAAATGTGTGAACATCTCTGTCAGGGTGAGAGGAGGATCTGTGTTGCAACTGTTCCTAAAAAGCTCTTCCAAAACAGTGGAAGCCACCTGACAGAAGAATGGCAAGGAGCGCATGATGTACAGGGTTCTGGATGATTTCACGTGAACAGTCGCTCTTGCGGCAACGTTTTGATCACGCACTTCACTTCTGATCTGTTCTTCCCACTGTAAGTCATCAAGCCCATGAAGTTCAACCACCCTCTGTATATGTTCTGGAGGAATTAGACCTGCATCTTTTAGCCTTGAAGTGACCAAGATCTGGGCAGAGGGAAGAAGGTTCCCTTTGAGAAGATTCACCAGCATGCAGCCTACAGAAACCGGTGTCATTGGATCGGTGCATGTCTTGGTGTGCTTAAAATCAAGAGGAAATCTAAATTCACCAAGTCCATCCCATATAAAGAGGATCTGAGATCGTTCGAGGGGCTCTGGCTTCAGTAACTTTAGAAAGAGCAAATCTAAGAGATGCATCAGGCTGAGTTTCTTGTCATGCAGTATGTTCAGCTCACACAGGTGAAGAGGAAACACAAAATCAATGTGCTGGTGTGTTTTGCCACGTGCCCAATCTAATATAAATGTCCTCACGGCTGTTGACTTGCCAGATCCAGATATTCCCCTCATCATAATGCTGCGGATACGCCCGTCTGTAGAAGAATGAGGCTTCAGGAGATCATCATAATTAATGGCATTTTCATCTGTAATGTCCTCATTGTGGGGTCTTTCCAGCTCACGCATCTCATGGACAATCTGGCCATCCAAATGTGTCCGTTTTGACACATACATCTTCAGAGGAATGTCGTCTGGAGCCTTTAGAGTGTCTTCATATCGCTTTCTTAAGCTCTCTTGCAGTGAAGACTTCAAAGTTTGGATCTCCTCTTTCGGAGTTTCTTCAACACAGAGTGAAGAGCTGGAAATGTGTCACACATACATGTGTTCAGTGTGATTGTATACCATATGAAAAGACGGTGAGCGTGATTTGACCAAGTACAACATCATTCCAATCAACCAATCATAATTGAGAGATAACTTTTCAGGAAATGTCAGTTTTAGGCTGACGATCAGGATTAGGTGCTTCTACACCCTTGTTAATCAGCTATCATTTCACACTGATTTTAGGAATAAATTATGGGTAAGGTTAGGTTTAGGGGTAGCGACTGGGTTAAGTCTGTATTTTTGGACAGATCCAGGAACATGTCTTACTTGGCGAAATCACGGCGACCATGAAAAGACAAGACAGGAGAGAGCACGACAAGACTTACCACGACTCTGTGGGCTGATCATTAATTTTGGTTTGGTCTTGAAGAACATTTTCTTTTTGGTTTGATGCCATTGTAGTCAATACTGAAAAGACAAAATGCACACTCTATACACAGGGTCCCACGGGCTCTTTAAAGTGGCTAAAACACTACACATAAAATGTCCCTAATACCTGACAGGTGTGGTTGAAATTAGGTCCTGAGAAAACACACATCTGACACAAAACAACATGAATCTAGACTGCATGTGTTAGGCCACTATTCTGAGACACAGAAGTGCACTTCTGCATTAAAACAATAAAGGCACAAAAAAGTAAATTCAATCTGCCTCGGTTAAAACCAAATCTTCATTTTTATATAGCTACCTTTAAGCAAATAAATAGCAACCTAATATTTAGCCGTGTTTACGTTTTCTTACTTTCGCTTTTTTACTGCTTTGGCTATTTAGGCTACATATTCATCACTTTAACCGTGATATCAAAACAACCCTATCAGCATGGATTACCGCAGAAATGCGATGATATGTCGATATTATTTGACAGCGTTGTTCGGGTCCCTCAGTCTAGTCTATCGCGTCTCTCTCTCGCTCACAAGAGGCGTGACTACCGAGAAACATATGAGGAAGAGAACAGCTCAGTCGGATAATATCCAGCCAGTTTTTTCCACTCAGAAATTATTTGCGGTGTCAGATTTGCGGAAGACACCAAAAAAGGTAAACAAGCTCTCTCGTCTCTTGCAGTGCTTTTCCATTCTGTGGTCGTTTTGATGTTGGACGTTGTGGCGCATCTCATCTCGCGTGCTTCTGTGTTAATAATGTTAATGTTGTGGTTACAATCCTGGTGAGCTCTCGTTACAATTCATCCGATCCCATTATTTCATGTAGAACTGAATATGAATTGCATTAATAAGAAGGGACAGTGTAACTTTGTTGACCACCTGTTGCTATATGGATAGAAAATGTGTTATCTAATGGTTTAGTTAATGAAAATTGTGTCATTATTTACTCATATGTTTTTTTTTTAACACTTTTATAGTAACATTCAAGAAAATATTGCAAACTCAAAGTTTGGATCTCTTCTTTAGGAGTTTCTTAAGCAGCAAGAGCTAATGTTAATGTACTGAACCTTACAGTAAAGTGCCTATGTGTATTTCTTTCTTAAATGGAACATGAAAGAAGACTTTTAATGATAGTTTGAAATATATATCTGTAATAAACGGACAGTTATATATAAATAAATTAAAATATAGATATTTCTGTTTACCAAAACCTTTCAGTTGAACTATAAAGGTGCTTCAAAAGGTTCTTCAAGCGATGCCATAGAAGAACCCTTTTTGGTTCCACAAAGATCCATTCAGTCAAAGGTTCTTTAAAGAACCATCTCTTTCTTGCGTTTTTATAATCTGAAGAACCTTCTTTCGCCACAAAGAACCTTTTGTGAAACAGAAAGGTTCTTCAGATGTTGAAGGTTCTTCATGGAACCATTTAGACAAAAAGGTTCTTCTGTGGCATCGTGAAGCACCTTTATTTTTAAGAGTATACTACTACAGGAACTGGAGAAGATGCTTCCTGTTTCTTTATCAGAACATCCTCATTTGAAGAAAGTGTGAAGCTTGGGTAGCTGAAAAATGAAGAAGAAACAGTCTTAAGACCCGTTCACGCCAAGAATGATAACTATAAAGATGACTGTAATGATAACTATAACTATAGTGGGAAGTCGTGGCCTAACGGTCTCATAACCCAAAAGGTTGCGGGTTCGAGTCTCGTACCGGCAGGGATTGTAGGTGGGGGGGGGGAATGTACAGCGCTCTCTCCCACCTTCAATACCACGACTGAGGTGCCCTTGAGCAAGGCACCGAACCCCCAACTGCTCCCCGGGCGCCGCAGCAAAAATGGCTGCCCACTGCTCCGGGTGTGTGTTCACTGCTGTGTGTGTGTGTTCAGAGTATGGGTCGCCACATGTCACTTCACTTTTTTTTTTTTTTTTTTATAAAGCTCAAGCTCCTTAAAGTCGGATGGATTCTGATTGGCTGTCATTCATCAGCTGGGGAAAAAATGGTCTGAAATTAATTCCAACTATATTGTTCCTCTGTATCCCCATAGCTGTGTGCTTCGCTATTCTCTAGAATTAGAACGATTTTTAAAACTTTATCTTTATAGAGATATATTTATCTACAGGATTATTTGATTTTCTAATTCTTCTGTAAATTATCAAAGTACATTTTTTTTATCAGATGATTGTAATTAAGACTGCTATAGATTAGGGCTGTACGATAATGACAAAAATCATAATTGTCGATTATTCCCTTGAAATTGTAATTGCGATTATTAATTACGATTATCACAATTTGCATTGAATGATGTTTATACCATTGTTTGATGCAACTGCATGCCGTATTATTTTTATATGAAAATAAACAAGCTGAAAACACTCTAACTGAAAAACCTTTAGTGCTTTTCTATAGTATTAAGCCTCAAATGTCAAATATACATCGGATTGGTTTCTATATACATCGGATTGGTTTCTTCTTTAAATTATAAAAAAGTAAAAATATGAATGGTATTATGAAGTGAAGTGACATGTGGCGACCCATACTTGGAATTAGTGCTCTGCATTTAACCCATCCAAAGTGCGCACACACACAGCAGTGAACACACACACACACACACCGTGAACACACACCCGGAGCAGTGGGCAGCCATTTATGCTGCGGCACCCGGGGAGCAGTTGGGGAGCCTTGCTCAAGGGCACCTCAGTCGTGGTATTGAAGGTGGAAGAGAGCACTGTACATTCACTCCCCCCACCTACAATCCCTGCCGGTACGAGACTCGAACCCACAACCTTTGGGTTACGAGTCCGATTAAGTAACCATTAGGCCACGACTTCCCCATACTATATTATAATGTTATACTAAAACTAAAACCATGGAAAAACCCTTAAGATAACATGTAGAAAGAAAAAAATGCATCTTAAGCACGCAGGATAACATAAGTGGACTTTGAACGATTAATTGCCGCTTTGAACGATTACGTAATTGTGGCATCCATAATTGTAGTCGCGATTAGAAATTCGGTTAATTGTGCAGCCCTGTTATAGATTAATATTTGTACTTTTAAAAATATTTTTTCCCCTTACAGAAGTATTTAAATGAACTGTAAAAAAAAAAAGCAGAAATATTAATAATATGTATACATTTTAACTTAGAATCATGATGTTATTTGTCAGGTACCTGTTATACCTTATTATGTGTGAGAATGGGCAAAATATTCATTCTTTCACCGCCCTTCACATATATTTTTCCTTTGAATTCCCAGATACGCCAGTGTGTGCTCAGTTCTGGCCTGGACTATTGTGTGGCTGACCTGTAAATTCCCATCCTCCGCTACTCCAGAGATCACCATGGCAACAATCGTTATGGAGCGGATTGGCCGACTCTTCATTAATCTGCAGCAGGTGGGGCGAGTTCCCCAGATGCTCACCGAGGCCTTACCCTCCACGGCCGACACCCTGCGTGACACGGAGGTGCCCTGGTTTTTCCGTGAACGCTACATTCACTCTGGCTACCGGCCGCTCCACCAGAACTGGCGCTACTACTTCCTTTCGCTCTTACAGCGGCACAACGAGACCATAAATGTGTGGACGCACCTCATCGGTGTGCTAGTGGTCCTTGCGAGAACCGCGCGGCTTACCGAAATGGTCGATTTCATGAACGACCCTCATTCCTGGCCGCTTTTCATCCTGCTCTTGTCCTCAGCGAGCTACTTGACCTTCAGCACCGTGGCCCACCTGTTGGCGGCGAAATCTGAAATCTGCCATTACGGCTTCTTCTACCTGGATTACGTAGGAGTGGCGCTGTATCAGTATGGCAGTGCAGTGGTGCACTACTACTACGCCATTGAGGAAAGCTGGCACGCACGTGTACGAGGTTGTTTCATGCCTATTGCTAGCTTCTTGTGTTGCCTGTCTTGCTTCGGCTGCTGTTACGGGAAATATCGCAATTATAGCCTTCCTCCCTGGGTTCGCAAAGTAGGCCAAGTGGTGCCTTCAGCCGTCGCTTACGGCTGGGACACCAGCCCTGTGTTTCATCGTTTCGTCATCTGGCTTCTGTCCTGGATGAGGGGCGATTTCAGAAACAGCCCTGCACTGCTCTTTCACTTCGGCCAGGTGGTGTTTTTTCTTTCCAGCGCTTTTTTCTTCACCCATCCTGTTCCCGAGCGCTGGTTCCCAGGTCACTGTGACTTCTTAGGTCAGGGTCATCAGGTATTCCACGTGCTGATGGTTCTGTGTACAGTCTGCCAGATCCACGCTTCATATTTGGACTACTCCAACCGCAGAGACTTCTATGTGAAACTCCATGCTGATGGCGAGGCATTGTTCTTTGTTGCGCTTTTCATTTTAACACTCATCACCTCTGCTCTGATAGCCTTGTATATGCTCGCGAAAGTAAAAAGATTACAGGGAAAAACGAAGTAAAGAATAGGAGTAGTTTGTCCTGCACTTGATGGTCAGCACACTCCCAAGGAGTATTAGAGTTATAGGCTGATGAAATCTGCTGAAAAGGTTTATTCAAGCCCACATAGCCTTTAGCTAACAGTGATTCTGCATGTTTCTGGATCAATGTTCTTGTTGGTCCTGTAACAACATTCCTATCATCAAATTCGATTTTACAGTGTTAGGTTAGGGATCAGGTTATGACTGTGTTTGTAAGGACTGAACTTTGAGCAAATGCTTAATGTTCAAACCGATCATCATCTGTGTTAGTATTTTTGAATGTGTTTTTAATGAACTGCTTCTGTTAACGCGATAGTTCACTCCAAAATTCGAATTCTGTCATCATTCGCTCAGCCTGCATGACTTTCGTTCTTCTACAGAAGAGCAAAAAGCAGGTACTTTGAAGAATGTTGGTAACCAAGCTTTTGTTTCCACAAAAGAAATTAAGTCACATAGATTTGAAGAGTAAATGATGGCAGGATTTGCATTTTTTGGGGTGAACTATCCCTTTAATTTCATTCCTGTGATGTACCATACTTCAGTTACACACCAGCCAGCAAGTACACACTAAAGAAACCAGCGTGCAGTATTGAGAATATGGAAAAGATATATCAATATTTAGGTGTTTAGATGTCTGATTTCACTTGAAGTATGTCAATTCTAAATTGTAGATTGTGTTATATGAATGCGGTCTTTTTTATGTAAACAAAAGAACACAATGTTATATTGTCAGTCATCATATTGGCTTTGAGATAGTAAAAAACAAATGACAATCTGTCTTAATTTCTACGATTCTGAGATGTTTATTCTATGTCTTCTAAAGAGGGAAAGTATTACCAATGCAATCATGATCACTGCTGTGCCTTAATGAGCATTTTAGATGAACCTCAGTCATTCATATCACACACATCTCGTGTAACTGATAACGAACAGTAGCACTGTATTAATGAGATTGCTAGTATTTGCTTTGAATGACCATTTGTATTGATTTTCTTTATAGTGTTATTGCACTTACCGGTCCCTTTTATTGCACCAAACCAGTGCCTACTTACAGTATAATCCGGGGTCATGTATGTGGATGTTAAAGGAAAAGGCAATGCAGAAATAATTTATGCTTTCACCAGGTCAACATTTGTAACTGTTGTTCTCTTTTTCCAAGTATCCTTCTTCCTAGTGTTACTCTATTTTTTAACTTATGTAAAAGGGACACTTAGCAATGGCCTTTTCTGATTAGGATCCTTAATTAAAGCACTAAATACTATTCCACGGTGTATAATGCCTTCTGTTTTAGCCATATATGCATAATTACAATGCAATGATTAAAAAATAAATATGTAAAACCAACTGCTACTTTCTTGCCGCAATTTTATACACATTTGAATTAGTAGATAGTAGTATGCTATATACTACATGCTGCACATTCTTAACACATTTCTATCACTTGCTTGTTTTGTAGGTGCCTCCATCCCTGTATCTTGCAAACCTGGGCCTGACTAGAACATTCTGTGAAAGAAAGCCCTCCTTGTTTGGAGAGGGTCACGTGGTTTGAGTAAACACTCAAAGTGAGGCTGTACTGCCCTCTTGTGTTTTCTTTGGAGTGGTCAGTTTTATATTTGGATACATTTTGTTAGCACAAAAATGCAAAGGTCAGGCAGATCTGTGCAGAACTTGAATGTCCCGTGTGGACTGTACAACAGGAAACCGTTGACAGCTTCCTGGAAAACGTATGATGCATAGTGCAGGGCTGCGACTGGACCGGAGCAAAACTCCCCGCTGCCAACACACTGATCAGCTTTATCTGAGGGAGGAACTTCCTGTTTCAGAACTGTTACTGTGGGCATTTGGGTCAGCGTATACATGTACATGTCTTTTCACTTAATTTCCTGTTTCCTCGTTTGCATATGTGAAAGAATTGTGTAATTAAGCAGTAAGAATATCGGTTAGCTCTGTGTTGAGTAACTCCTGACACCAAACCTGAGACATCATCTCAGGAAATATCAACAAAAGATGTTGAGCAATAACAACACGCATATTAATATTAAGCCCCTCTCTGCCATTAAATGTAGACGGGAATAAAAAAAGAAAGCATGTTCACATAATATTCCATCATGACTGTTCTAAATGGGGTTTTGTTTGGAAAGGAAAATATGCAGTGGTTCAATAGTTTCCGTAGTCAGTTGTTTAATGTATAAAATCATGGGAAAAGGGTCGACTATTTAAAATGGGCCCCTAGAAAAAAAAATCATAATAAAAGAGGAGATGAAGAGTTCACATCCTAAATGATGATATTCATCCCAAAGGACGATGATGGCATGACGGCAGAGTTGTTTTGATTATGGAATTGTACATCATTTTAACAAGGGGGACTATGGTGACAGGGTTGATGCATATTTTAAAGGGATAGTACACCCAAAAAATATTCACCCTCAAGTTGTTCCGAACCTGTGAGTTTCTTTCATCTGTTGAACATAAAAGCTGATATTTGGAAGAATGTGGGTAATCAAAACAGTTGATGGATGGCATTCCATAGTATAGAAGTTAATGTTCAACAGAAGAAATAAAAAAATTATGACAGAATTAGGCTATCCTTTTTTTTGGGTGAACTATCCTTTTAAAGTATTTACATAAAACATTCAAATATAACAGAGTAGCCTACTGTGAATACAAATTAGCCTTAAAGGGTTAGTTCACCCCAAAATGAAAATTAGGCTGCGTTTTACTCACCCCTGATGCATCCTAGGTGTATATGACTTTCTTCTTTCAGACGATTGATCAGATTGATCTTTCAAGCGCTATCGTTGCGCTCAGCGGGTGTTGCATTGCTTCTGTCCAAAAGACGTGAAATAAAAAGCACCTTTCCATTAAAAAAAGTATCTTTAATGGGGGGGGGGATGGGGGACAAAGGCCTCCTGTAGCGAATTGATGCGTTTTTGTAAGAAAAAGATCAATAATCAAAACTTAATAATCACGTTAATGTAGCTTGCGCTCACTGTTGTAAACGGAAGCAGCTCTGGGCGGATGACGTATGAGGTCAGCGCTGCGCATGCGCCGCTCAGAAGTGACGCACGCGGAGAGATCGAAACAAAACAACGGTCACTAATTAGAAGTACAAAACGAGGATTTGTAAAGAAGAATGTAGGAGGATTTCGATATAAGCCAAGAGGAGACTGGTTTTTCTTTACTAAAGTAAGTTGCTTCTTTTGCTCCTGTTAACAAACGTTGGTTTTCACGAGACGCTGGCGCATGCACAGCGCTGAACTCATACGCCATCCGCCCGGAGCTGCTTCCGTGTTCAACTGTTGGCGCAAGCTACATTAAAGTGATTATTACGTTTTGAATATGGATATTTTTCTTACAAAAACGCATCGATTCGCTACAGGAGGCCTTTGTTCACCCCCCGGAGCCGTGTGAGACACTTTTTTTTGTGGAAGGGTGCTGGGCGCTTTTTATTTAACTTCTTTTGGACTGAAGCAATGCAACACCCACTGAGTGGCATTAAACAGCTTGAAAGATCAAAGACCATTTTTAATATAAGTCCGACTGGATTAGTCTGAAAGAAGTCATATACACCTAGGATGCATCGGGGGTGAATAAAACGCAGCCCAATTTTCATTTTGGGGTGAACTAACCCTTTAATTGTCCACATTCGTTAATACAACAAAGTTTGAGAATCAAACAAAGACAAAAATAACATGCATTTTTTTTTTGCCAAATAAATAAACAATTATAGTCTATTATTATTGATAGTTATTGTTAAACTATGTTCATGAGGGAAAGAAAGGGCGGCCGATTTAATCTTCAGCGTATTTCCTTATGCAGCAATAAGGCGCTGTCTCTTTAAATGAGTGACTGGGTGTCGGTGGTGAAACAGCGAGTTTAGAGCAACAGAACGGGAACTGATCGCCTTCAGAAACACAAAGGGACATTACGATCCACCGCTATGGGCATCAAACTGTATTACACCACCGTCACTGCATCGAGAGAGGTGAGAATAAACCTGTGGCCCTGTGGACTCAGTGAGTGAGCCGTGTATGTGGAGAATGCAGAGTTAAATGCATATGAAACGGAGGATTAGGCTTCCAGACACACCCAACTGCTCAGTTAACACACGTCTCTCTATCCACATTTAAACGCTGTTGCGACACAGAGCGCGTAGAAATGCATTACGACATTATTGTGGCGCTCGAACGCTTTAAGCGATTGCAAAGCGCAGTGGTTTGTAGCTGAGAGGATGAAGTGCACTGGATTGAGGGCGGAAGTCACGTTGTCTGTGTTCAGTGTAGTTATCCTCTCACTACTGTCGCATGAGTGTGACCTTTATCAACTATTTGTTTTGCGCGTAAATATACGTCCTCTTTAAATCCTGTACTCGCCATACTAGCAATTGAGACGGAATCGATGTATACTTGAGCTGTTGTTGTTGTTGCACGCGACAGTTGCATCGCAGCTTTGAGTCTTCACATCTGTTGTGAATAAAGAAAACATGCGGTTTGATATGCGATTGATTTCTATAATCACGGGCCTGTAGCAGAACATATCGAAAGTGTACACCCATCTTTTGTTTTAAAGTTTTCGAAGCAATGGAAATCAAATCAATGATTCTACATGTAGTGGGGTCGCCCCCTCATGTGCCACCATGTTGAGATCACATGACCAACCATGTCATGGAATTTCTTCTTCTTCTTCTTTTTCTTCTTTTGGAGTTTTACAGCAGTTGGCATGTCATGGAATTTTACTTGCATGTTACAATTTACATTAAAATTACTACTAATAATAGCAAAAAAAAAAACGTTTAACTTCATATAGCGCGTGCAACCAGTGTTTAATGTGCTTTGCAAAACACACACACTCACACACATTCACTCACTCACTCACTCACTCACTCACTCACTCACTCACTCACTCACTCACTCACTCACTCACTCACTCACTCACTCACTCACTCACTCACTCACTCACTCACTCACTCACTCACTCACTCACTCACTCACTCACTCACTCACTCACTCACTCACACTCACTCTCTCACACACGGTTTTCACGAGACGCACCGGCGCATGCACAGCGATGAACTCATACGCCATCCGCCCGGAGCTGCTTCCGTGTACAACTGTTGGCGCAAGCTACATTAAAGTGATTATTACGTTTTGAATATGGATATTTTTCTTACAAAAACGCATCGATTCGCTACAGG